GTAACACTTGCAGCTAATTAGAATTAAACACAATGTGGAGTTGAGGCCGATAAGAACATCATTCACTTTGTATTTGACATTGATGATGGTGCTGCATGAAAAAATAAAGAATCACTATAGACAAAGCCATTAGGAAACATCCCCTGGAAACCATAGTATTAAATTGTGTCTAAATCCAGTTAGTAGATGCGCAGATATCTACCACTGGTTAACTGAAACCTTTGACCTGCAGATGGCACTATATAAAAATCAGAAGATCACTTGAATCAGCAGGATTCATCCTCCAAGGACCATGAATGTCTGTACAACATTTTGTGGCAATCTTCGATCGGAAGAACGACATTAATCTGATTACGGTCACATACTAAGCCACTCCATCAGCTACGATGGTTTGAGTCCCAGCAGCAGGACTTCACAGTATATCTCAACACAAGCATTCCTCCTCGGACTTACGAGCCCCCCAAACGCATACCATACCTTCCTTAAGGCTGAAGAATGAGGGCCAGCTCACACACTTCCCATGCTCCCCCGCACTGTTGACTTCCTGTTTATTTACACAGCTTCATATTTCAATGCTCCCACAGTGAGATTGTATTCTAATCTCTCTCTGTTCCTATCCAAGGCTTTCATTAAGGAACCTGAAAAATTGTGCCAAGGATGCGCACAACTGCTGAGTTAAATCAGTCATAAAATGCAAACATGGCAGTGGTCCTTTGTCATGTTAGTGGAATGTTTTTGTTTATTGTTTAGTTTCTCAGAACAATTTACTCTGAGAGTCCAGAGTATTAGCCTGTGTGAGTCCCACCAGTGACTCACTGGTCATTCAGAGCCTGAGAAAACACAGTGGGTTCATTCCTCATTGCATCCTGAGCTCAGGACTGATATAGAGACCTGTGGGGAATTCTGCCGCGATGTCTCATATCACATGATTCATCTGCTCCAATCACAGACAGCTCAGCATTTAGCTTTCCCTGAACTGAACCACCACTAATCAATGAGCTTTACCTCATATGTTTACGTTTGCCAAAGATATTCACTGGTTTGAAACAAAGAAGCAAAATAATCAAACTTGAAAAAAAGGTTAAAAAAAATTAATTCTACAGGCCATCTGCTTGAAGATGCTCTTAACCTAATTAACATTTTTATCAGTAGTACACAATGTATAGTGACTTTACTTAAAGGTACAATATGGTACTTTTTCTGCATTAAGAATTATACCTATTTTATATATTTTGTTGAGTTTTGTACTTACATTATCCCAAACGTTTCAAGCAATTTTCAAAAAAAATTTAATCAAGGTAGTAGTCTCTTCCATTTCCATCATATCGCCCCTACGCATGCGTCATCGTTGTGGTTGTATGACAGAAGTGGTCAATGTTGATTTTCAAAAGTGCACAATGCACTTTTTAGATCTCGGTCATTTACTATATATTTTAATTGGATGAAGGAGTGAGTCATCAGGCATCTAGATCTTAAGTTATCAGAGAAATGAGCTCATCAGAAGATTTGCAAACATTAGCTGCAGCTTGGCTCGCAGCCCCTCCGAGACGTCCTGCGTCTGCTGAACAGCATCAGGGAAACATCATCTTTTATATGAACCTGCTTTATTCAGCAGATTTAATTACTGGGTGTGTTTGCCTTGGAGAGGAAGACAGCTCTGAGGATATTTTGGTTCAAAACCTCCTGAATGTGTGGATCATAAGTTATCAAAGAAACAAGCTGAGCAAACATTAGCAGCACCTTAGCTCACAGCCCCTCCATGACAATTTGTAATGTGAAAATGCCTTATTTAGTGTTTTTTACCGGTTTTAATCACTTGGTCCTTTTGTTTTGGAGAGGAGGAAACCTCTGTGGATGATTTGGCTCCTGTTAAAAACCTGCAACAGTGGTGAAGACAGCAACTCCCATGATCCCTCACTACTTCATGATGTCACACCAAACTCATTCACTCACTAACCAAACCGTTATTTCTTTGATTGAGAGCCACCAACAACACATACTGTGCATTAAAGTAAAAGTAGCAATACCACAATGTAAAAAAAAACAACTTGTAACTGTATCTGCCAGATTGGTGTAGTGGAGTAGTATGATACTGTACGGGTGAAGGAGAGGCACACTTTAATGACCCTCAGTATAGAAACACTAGGGTACATACAGTAAAAAGGCTGAGTAGCACTCCTCATGACAAGTAAACTGGTGTTTTAAATGTAAATATGTGTAAATTGGCGGAGTTGCCCTTTAACATCAGCTGTTCCAAGTGGTCGCACTGTATTTCCGGGAGGGGGCAGGGGGGTATCTGAATACACCTGCTTCCACTAGAGACGACAAAGAGGGCTTATTTTTGGGGGGTGGTGGGACAGAAGGGATGGTTCAATCTAATTACAGACTCTGGGGAGATGACTTCACTGAGGTAACGCCTGACCCTAGGGTGAGTGTTTCTCTGCGTCTCCCTCCACATCAGGGGCAGGCCTCTCCAATTACAGTAGGCAGGTCTGGTCTGTACCTTTAAGTAGTAATTAAAAAGGCTGACTACAGTGTTTTGCAAGTCAAATGAAGAGTTTTAAAAATCCATGTGCAGGGTAGTGAATGCAACCTGATCACATCTGACAGTGTCTGTGACGGCAGTAAAGGGAGTTGAACAGTGAGTTGAGCTGTTTATATTAGTCTAAGTCACTTCCTTTAGACTTCCACTCTTGCTGTAGTGCCTCAGTAAGTGGTGTTGTCCTCCAGTGCATTAGTCACTGGGATTTTTTGTGGTTTGAACATCAATTTTCCACAAGCTCAGGGGCTTCAAAGATGGGATACTGACAAGCTCTCCTCAGGCACTATCATGCTCATAACTAAATTACAAGCCCATGTATGTCGTTCCCCCTCTCATTCCCAGGACAATTAACTGCGTCTGACAGTGGGCTAATGAGCCACAGAACCCGAGCATTTGTCCTATCTACAGTCGAAATCAGTTGCCATTAGCAATTGTGAGCAATCCCCCCAACACCACCGCCACTTCCAGTCCTCTTAAAATGGAGACTGATGAAGAAAGAGGCAGGGCAGGAAATGAAATTACTGTATAGACAATCATTACTACAGAGAGGGTGGAACTGAAAAAAAATAATAAAAGCATGTGAGTACAGTGTGTATGTGCGTACATGTGTGTGTGTGTGTGTGTGTGTGTGCGCTACCACATGGACACAATGAGAGACCAGCAGGCAGATGCAGGCATTATTAACCCAAATTGCCAGGATTAACAGCTTTGTCTAACAGAGATAAACTTTTGTTTCCATTATATACTACAACATCGTCCACTTCACTCCCACTCCCTGTAACCATAATGATGTGCAGGCGGGCAGTAAAAGAGTCCTGGGAGCAACGTGGATTTTCTTTGAGTCAACACACTTGAAAGCAAATCACTGCCTCCCTTATAGTGACAAGGCTCTTTTCCCCTGCAATTACACGCAATTAACCAGACCCATAACATACATTCATGACTACTTGGGTCAATAATAGAGGGAGTAAAAATATTAATGAAGAACTGTACTCATCCAGACTTGAATAAATGCAATTTTTAAAAAAAAATCTATTATTGTATGTCATTGTCAGCTTTCTTACTGGATATGTCCTTTTCTTTTTATCTTATCAGTCATCTGTGAAGCACTTTGAACTGCACTAATCTGTATGAAAAGTGCTATACAAATAAAGTTTGATTGATTGATTGATTTCAGTTTGAGTACTTACAGAATCAGTGTGAATAAATTCTGAGCATATGGAAGTAAATCACACTTGTTTGTTTTTTTTACCCCCCAACTTTAAAATATGACATAACCATTTAAAAAAATAAAGCTTCCTTGTTGTATATAGATTAAAATTGGGCGGGTCCATGGTTTGATAGATGATTTAATTTCTGAATCTTCTAATGACAGTCTGACAGTTATTGTCTCATCTTACACAAGACATCCTGCACAGTTGAGTTCTCTTAAGGTATTGAAGTGCCATCTAGTGTCCTTTATAAGAATGTGAAGACACCACTCCCATCAAATTCTTACTAGAGGACTGTCTGCAAATGTATAATTATTATTTTCACCTCACAATCTATCTGCAGTGTCTGCTGTGAGTGGCTGGTATTAAATGTCCCCATTTATCGAAAAAAAATAATAATAAATAAATAATATATATATATATATATATATATATAAATCTTTGAATAAAACTGTGAGTTTTATTGCTAAAGGCTGACAAGTAATCATCATTCAAGCAACATGAAAAGATACATAGACACAGAGCTGTGCCCTGCGGCTCTAATACAGCAAACCATTCCTGAACTGGCTGCTTTGTTATCATGCCATGCCAAACACAATGGGAACTGTTCTCACCCTACATAATGCATGGTATGACAGCATGGTGTGAAAGCATTATATAATATGGTTGTATTCTATTTTCTTTACCCTGCACAGTTATATGCCTTTATTTAATTTAAGTTTAAATGTACATATTTTGAGGTTCCCTCTGTGTTGACATACATAAACAAACCTGCTTTGTGCACCTTTCTGGAGATTTGGTAGACTACTCTTTGTACTAACTTAAGTCATATTTCACTTTTTTTCATCAAGATGAAAGGTTCAATAGTGACATCTAGTGGTCAAACTCTAAACACATTAAAAATGTAAGTCAAATTATTTTTCAGCATTTCAAAGTGGACTGAGAATATTTTTTTAGGCGACCCATTTTCTCCAGCAGTTATCTCTTTATTCTTCATATTCTTTAAGGCTTCAGATTTGTAATAATTAATCATGTGACCTGGCCATGAACAAAATCAGAAACAGCAGAGGGCTGAATTTGCTGTTAGATGTGGGTTTTGAAATGAGTACAATAACCATGCAAAGCTCATGAAGATTATGGCACTCTTCATTCTGCCAGGAGTGGGTTGAGTTAAATCCGGCGGAGTTTAGGACCCGGCAGATGTCCAATGAGAATCACATGATAGCGATTTAGACCTTAGTGGTCTTTTTTTTATGCTTCACCAGTGAACATACATTCAGGGGGGAAGACATCAAAACGGTACCAACAGGCATGAAGTCGTAATAATATAGAAGTAATGAATTACTTGTAGGTGGACTCGTTGCGAAGGCGGCGGACATGGCAGCTGCTGTCTTACTCTTCATTGCAGTGAACCTTGCCTGTTTGTCTGTCAGTGGAAACCTGGTAAGACAGAAACAAAAAGTTGACTCGTATAGTAGTAGAAAAGTCACGTGATCGCTCACAGATCTGTAGTTCCTGAATGGTGTTCTGCCAGTTAAATAGGAACAATTTTCTATTTCTAATCTTGGTTTTACAAATGGGAAATTCTGCTTGAACTGAAGTAGATGCTAATATTGTTTGACCTGCTGACAGAGGTATGACAAGAGGCAGTCGTAACATCTGTCCAAACTGCTGCCAAATACTGCACTGTACATAATGGAGATGATGTATCCCTCAAGAAAGACAATGCAGACTTACCAGTTTTTAAATCCACTCTTAGCAGTCCCCATTCTATCTCTTGCAGGTCTCTGGGAAAAGATCTTTCTCCATAGACTACGAAAACAACTGTTTCCTCAAAGATGGGAAACCTTTTCAGTACATTTCAGGCAGCATCCACTACTCCAGGATCCCACGGTACTACTGGAAGGACCGGCTCCTGAAGATGTACATGACTGGTCTCAATGCTATCCAAGTGTAAGCTGAACTCATACATACATTGTATATATGCGTGTTGTTAGTGGGGATGTTGTTCACCTTTCTGTAATGGTTTGACTACATTCACTCTGCCTCCACACAGATATGTGCCGTGGAACTTCCATGAACAGATACAGGAGGTCCACAACTTCACAGGGGACAGAGATTTGGAGCATTTCTTGGATCTGGCCAATCAGATAGGTCTCCTGGTCATCCTGCGTCCAGGACCATACATCTGTGCAGAATGGGAAATGGTGTTAAACGTTGCTTTGTTTATGTCAATATATAAAGTCTGATTAGTAATTATGTTCATAACTAAGACATAGCAATTCAGACATGCTGTTTTTGACAGTTATTTTAAGAAATGTAGTTCACAACATCACAGCCTAATATAGAAGAAAGGATTTACCAAGAAATTATATAATATCTTAAACCATGTTGCAAAATTAAAAGCAAAAACAAAACAAAAAATATTACAAATACATTCTTTTTAAAAGTTGTACAGATCTTCTACATTCAAAGATTCAATTAAGAAAAACAATTTTTTTTGCTTAAAGTGGAGATTGCTCTGTGGTTTTCTCAGTTGTAAAATATGTGCATTTACTCTACTTACAACATGTACAGTGCACTCAATCAGTGTCAGTAAACCAGGAAACTGTTACTATTGTGGGATTTATATTTAAAGTGTATTTCATGTACTTGAAAATAGAAATGGGGGGGTCTAATTGGGCGTTCTAATTTACCATCTGTGCACACATCTGTGATCACAAACGTGATCTCCATCTGCTTCCTGTTAGTTCTTTCACTGATGATGTGCATTTGCATCAAATGTACCACCTTCAGTAAATGTATTTCTCGTTGACACCTTCTTCTTCCCAGGGTGGACTACCAGCGTGGCTTCTTCAGAAACCAAACATCATACTTCGCTCTGCTGACACAGGTATAACATGCACCGGTGTGTCTTTGTCTTCTTGTAAAAATTTAATATGCCACATTGATTTATTTTCTTCTGCTTCAGATTATTTGCAGGCAGTCAGCAACTGGCTTGCTGTTCTCCTCCCCAAAATGAAGCCATGGCTCTATATCAATGGGGGTAATATCATTAGTGTCCAGGTAGAGTACTGAGTGGGTGCCTATAAAATCTTTTTTATAGTTAGTATATTACTCTTGGTTTGAAATAATCAACTCCCTTTCCTTCAGGTGGAGAATGAATATGGCAGCTACTACGCTTGTGACTACAACTACATGCGTCACCTGCGGACTCTGTTCCGCTTCTTACTTGGTGAAGACGCAATCCTTTTCACCACCGATGGGAACACAGACAAGGAAATGTCATGCGGGTCTCTAGAGGGACTATATGCCACCTTAGACTTTGGCACAGGTGTGTTGAGGAGATAGCAGCATCTACTTATCTAAAGTTATTCATACAGAAATTCGCTATTTCTTCAATTTCCTCCCTCATTCAGACACCAACATAACTGAAGCCTTCAGCCGGCAGAGGCGGTTCGAACCTCGAGGCCCCCTGGTTAGTTACATGTCAATTCTTGAAATTATTTACATACAGTAATTGTTGACTCTTTCAATTAAGTGTAGGATGGAAACATGTTTTAAATGGCATTACAGGTGAACTCTGAGTTCTACACCGGCTGGTTGGACCACTGGGGAGATCAGCATGCCGTGGTTGATGTTCAGAAGGTCAGCAGAGTGCTAGGAGAAATGCTAACCATGGGGGCCAACGTCAACATGTATGTCTCTCCAAACTCTTAATCTTTCAAAGGTTTCCTCCGCTCTGTACAAATTTGGTTAAAGGCTACAGCTGCCGTTGCCCTGCCCTATTGTTCTTATTGTCAACAAATCCTATGAAAAGACCAAAACATACAGTATATTAGTCCTTCTTTAACTTTCCAGCTTCCCAGGTGCATTCATTCCTTCTGAAGATATGAATCTAAAACTAATCTAAAAGATAGGAGGAGACAGTACATTAACTGGGGACTAGTTTATGCTGCGGATTAATACACTGGGCCATAAATACTCACTTGCTGTAATGTCTCAAAATAAACTGCGATGCCCATGTTCATCATAATAAAATAACCAAAGCGCACCAATCACCAAGTGCAACAGTGTGGTGCATTAAAGGCTCTTTAATAGTTTTCACACAACATGGGAGGTCTATGGCACAGAGGAATAAGCTACAACACGCTGTGGCAACTCTGGCCAGTGGGATCAATTTAATGCCGGTTGTGGTCTTTTAATCGGATTTGTTGACAATAAGAAAAACATCACCAGCTTCATCCTTTAAGATGCATCAGTCACCAACTTGAGCTCCCAAGAACTGAACGTCACTTGTCTGTTTGATGAACAGTAGATTTCCCTGAAACAATAGTCTGCCCCTCTCTCTTCACAGGTACATGTTTGAGGGCGGCACCAACTTTGGCTACTGGAATGGTAAAGTTCTCAGAATCACTATCCGAGTGGTGGAGATGAAAGCTCAGCTTGTGGTGCAGTCATCTCTTTGTAACTCTCCACTTCTCTCTAAAAGGTGCTGATCATGACACGAGGTTCCGCTCAGTAGTGACTAGTTATGATTACGACGCCCCGCTGTCTGAGGCGGGAGACCCCACAGAGAAGCTGTTGGCCATCAGAGACGTCATTAAGCAGGTAGCACTGATTGAACTGCCACCCAGCCAGGTTGTTGTCCTGATTACGCTTGTACATACTGTATGTCTGAGATATGATTAATTCATTAATTGATGTTTCTCTACAGTTTAGAGATATTCCCTCCGGACCCATGCCACCAGCAACTCCCAAGTTTGCCTATGGCTTTGTGACCCTGAAAAAGGTAATACTGTATTATTAATACAAAAAAGGGGTTAATAATGAGCAACAAGAATCTGTGATTGATGATAATAATGCGAAATCTTTTACAGGTTGGTAACATGAGTGGTCTGTTGAACACCCTTTCGCCTCTGGGGCCAGTGAAATCTCAGTATCCTCTGACATTTGAAGAGATGAAACAGGTATGATGTCTCTGAAGTCAACAACAGGAGAGGGACTAGTGTTGTAGTGGCAGTAAACCTCTTGAAACGTGGAGAACTTCTAGACCGTTGTGTCTGCAACCTGTCATGTTTATTGTGTTCAGTACTATGGATACATGCTGTATCGGACCACGCTCCCCCGGGACCTCTCAGAGCCCACGCCACTTATCTCTCCACTGAATGGGGTTCATGACCGTGCATATGTGTCCATCAATGGGGTAATCCTTTACAATAAACTTTTGTTGCCTAGCCAGTCAGATTTTCAGGTCATATATGGGGGATAACATCACAGATTAAACTCTTGTTCACGTAATACCATGTTGTGAATTTTCAAATTCTTATACTACTACTACTACTACTACGATTCTCTACGTTATTTTGTATTTTTTAAATGTTCATACTCTTGATAAAGCATGTGTCTGTATGAACAGGTTTTTCAGGGCCTGTTGGAGAGAGACACAATACTGGTGATGAACATCACTGGACAGCAGGGGGACACCGTGGACATCCTTGTTGAGAACATGGGCAGGGTTAACTTTGGCAGCAAGATCAATGACTACAAGGCAAGTCCAATCCCATAGAGAGTATGCACACACAGCTTCTTTAATGCTCATGTTTTGTTGAGATTGCCTTTACTTCCCCACTGACAGACCTCAATGCTATATGTGTAAAGATAACAATAACTACTATCTGTTTTTTCCTTTGTTCTGACTTTTGAAAACCTGATCACAAATTTAAAAAAGCATTGTTACTACACCAAATAATAAAAGTTTTTGTTTCATATGTTAAATTGGTTATAGGATATACAACTGCATTGTTTTTGTTTGTCAAAAAATCATCCACAAAGATGTTATGAATGTTATCGTAGATATTGTAACTGCATTAACAGAAATCCAGATAAAGAATTTCTCCAAATGGCAAACTCTTCATATCTGCACAAATAAAATGCTGCCATATTTAATATGGAGCAAGTACTATGCACGCTAGACGTGATAGTAAATGCACACACATTCAATTTTACAGAAAAATGTATTAACTAACTAATTTCCAAGGCTCGGTGGTAAACAGTATGTGTACTGCAGGGCCTCCTGAGCAATCTGATCCTGGGTAAAGACGTACTGACTGACTGGCAGATCTACCCTTTGGACATTGATGGAGCCATTACTGGTGGATGGCCTCATGCTGACAGTCAGAAGTCCTTCCCTCACAAAAAACCTTCAGCTGGACCGACCTTCTACATGGGGACATTACAGCCCAACGGTTTGACATGGGACACCTTTCTCAAGCTGAATGATTGGACAAAGGTAATGTGGATTTTTTTACCTTATTATTTCAGGGGTAAAATAACTGTACCCCTAACTGTTGTCTTGTTTTTTTTTTTTGTTTGTTTTTTTTATCAGGGTCAGGTTTGGATTAATGGTGTGAATCTGGGGCGATACTGGCCAGCCAGGGGCCCTCAACAGACTCTTTATATCCCAGGACCTTTGCTCAGCACCACCTTACCCAACAACATCACAGTGCTGGAGCTGGAGGGGGCACCAGCGCACTTGCGAGTTGTCTTTATGGACAGGCCTCAGCTCAATGTCACTGCAGAATAGTCTTAACAGAGTTTTGTATCACAACATTTTCTCAGCTTTCAGCTGCAGAAATACTATATTCCAAACACTGTTTAAGCCAGTGTGTACAAGAAATCATTAGATGGTTTTACAGCAGCAAAGCTGAAGTATTCTCACCTGACATGTGAGGAAATTGCTCAGAAGAACAATCACTTTAGATTTCAGTGTTTCACATGTAGCCATTTCTCAATCAGTCACAATCCAGTGTAAACTGACAGTCAAACAATGATCCAACAATGAGTTTTAATATTCACTGAGGCCTGTGACGCATAAACAGTAATATTTTAATGCATTTGCTTTTTTACTTTTCCCATTACTACAGGTGCTGTAAATAAATTATAAATATATTTAATTATGTTTTGATACAGTATATGCATCCAGTTGCCTAAGATCATCTGCCATAATAAGATCATATATGAAATGTATGTCCAGAGTTGAAAATGACATAGAGTTACTAGAGTCTTAACGGGGGCTACACAAATTCACTTGTACTTTTCATGAGGTAGCTTCCTTCCAAGTAAAAATATCCACATGGGTGTTAGCTTTTGCCTGGAAGAGTATTTGCTTTCCGATGTGCTTGGACACAGCGAGGGGTGCAGAACGAATACTCCAGGTACTGAAATGGGATCTTCCCAAGCAGAGATTCCCCACACAACCAGCACCTCCTGGTGACAAAGACAAACCAACACAAAAACACACACAATGAATTTCGGTAGACATTTTTGAGTAACAAAACATTAACTGTATTGCTTAAAGTAAATTAGAATGTGACTTAGCAAAGTGAGAGGATGGCTCTCAGGGGTCTTACTTGACGTTAGAGAGGCTGACTCCTGTTGCAGCTACCTGTTCCGCTAACCTTTTCTCTGCTGCCAGAGCTCTCTATAATCAACAAGCAAACAGTAAATATTTCCAAATAAAAAAAAGAAAAAAGAATTGCACGTCAGTGATAAAATGCACATTAACTCACCTTTTCTCGATCGGTCAGAGATGCAAACCTCTTCTTTTCCTCGGCCTCCAACTCTTGTTTCCTCTTCTCCTCCTTCTGCTCCTTTTCTCGTTGTTTCCTTAAAGCCTTTTGAGCCTTTTTCTTCTCTGTCTTTTTGGATTCAATCTCTGCCGTCAGTGGCCCAGGTACCTTGAGTTGCACAGGTGTAAACCGTAAGTGTTCTGCTTCTATTTAATGGGACACGTGTTTGAAGTTAGACCGTCAACTCTTACCTGTGCCTTGTTGTAGTCAAATTTGTCAGGATTCTCACCCATGTATTTGCGAAAGACATTCCTTGTGTCTTTGTCAGGGGCGACAATATACGGCGTTTGCCCTTTGTTATCCCTGTAAAGGAATTATGCAGAAATAATTGCAATGGCTGAAAATGATCAAGCTAAAATTTTACTTTTATGAAAGTTGCCTATAGTCTTTTTTCACACCTGCAGGCTGGGTCTGCTCCTGCATCAAGGAGCAGCCTGACCACTGCCTTTTGTGCAGCTGCTGATGCAACATGCAGCAAAGTGAACGCTGATGAGTCTATGGGCTTGTTAAGGAGAGTCAGAGGACTTGGTGCATCAGAGGGGTTGCTCTCCACCTGCTCTCGACTCTCTGCCGTTTCTCCAGGTAGCTCCAGGAGTCTACTTAGAGTGTCCACATCCCCAACCTTGCAGGCTGTAAAGAGCGTATCCCTCAGGCCATAGTCCCATGACCCCTCGACAGTTTCTGTGAAGACACACAAAGCTAAATATTGAGTCTTGAGAGTGAGAAAGAGGTGCAATATAACAAACAATAAAGACGAACAAGCCCATACTCACCGTCCAGTTGTTTCTTGGTCTGTGCTTTCCTCTTCCTTTTGTTCTTTGATTGTGTCACTTGAGCAGCGTCTTCTGCTGCTGTAGCTTCCAGTACCTCCTCTTCTTGATTATCTGCTTCTGTGTTGCTCAGTTCTGTCACAGATCGATATAAAATGTCATAAACCTTGCAGAATGTTTGTGCGATAAATAAGCATTCCTTGGACTCCTATAATGTAGCTATAGGCACCTGTGTGATGGCACACTGGCCTGGACCTACCCTCATTTTGCATTTTGGTTTCCTCCTTCTTTCTCCTCCTTCTTCTCTTGTGCCTGGAGGGATATATTTTATACTCCCTGAGGTCCAGGGTTCCTAATGTCAGCTCCACCATCTCCAGCTGGATCTCTCCACCCTCTTCTATCGAGTTATCATGGTTTTCTTCTGCTGATGCCACTGTAATACCAAATTTCACAGTGCATTTACTTTGTGTTTTATCCACATAGAGTTCAATATAGTGTAAATCAACAGTGTCCACTTAAACTTCTTAAACTTACCTTGCTCTTGATCACTGTTTTTTGATGCTACTGGCTTTACAGTTTTTTTCCATGCCTTCTTAGATGGACTGAAGACTGCAGACATGTCTGTGTCTCTCCCTGCATTAAGACATTTTTGATTATACCCTGGCTGTATGACAATGAGCGGAAAAGATGTTATTACTCCAAGTATGTTATTAAGCTTACCATAAACGTGAATGGTGGAAAGCACCTCGTGCACCCTCTGTACCTCTCGAAACGTTGCCCTGCGTGTGGGAAAGGGAAGTGTACGGATCCTGGGATCTTTTTTGTCAAGGGGGGCTGCCCGACCACCAAAAAAGATGGTCTTGTTATAGCTAGGGGCTCGTACAAATATTGCAGAGGCCTCCTTCAAGTACTCAGCCCAGGTTACCAGAAGATCCTGAATGTCCTGCAAAAGGTTACAGAAGTGTTGTGTGTGTTTGAAGAAACAGCACATGAAAAACTTACTGCAAAACCAAACACATTTAAAACATTTTACATAAATTACTTTGTAAATCTAGACTGGAATTTATTCAGAACACACTGTTTAATTAAAGTTTATAACAATAACATGAGCACTATGTGTTTAAAATAACGAGTCAATGTCCATCTTTTGAAATTGTCTTCTGACAATGTGGAATTGCTCACTCAAGTTTTCCTTTTGAAATAAGAAACCCTTACACACCGACCCTAAATGTTTTTGTGATGAAGCAGCCCCTAGGCTCTGTGGTTGCACCAGCACATTCTCACAAAAGTGAAGAAATTGCTACTTTCAGAGGAGGATGGCAGACAAAAACTTTATCTGGTACAAGAGAAAAATGAATGCAATTCAGCAGAAGGGCCTTCCTAGGGTTATGTGGATCATTCCTGGTCATGTTAATGAACATCAGCCTTCAGCATATTTCCACCTATTTTTTTAGTATTCCATGAATAAAATACAACAATTCATGGCTACTACTGAAAGGGCAGAATGATGGTGTAGTTAAATGGACTGTATTCTTGCCTTGACCAGTGCTGCCTCGTTGTAGCGCCTCAGAGCAGCTCCTGCAGACTTCGGTGTGTGACTGCGGTTCTGAGAGTCCCTGAGTCCTTGAGCAGTGCCTCGCTTTGCTCGCACTGTGTATCGGTGGAAGGTCTTGTGCTGAAGGACTTCTTTTCTATTAATACAAATACAGTGTGTTGGGCAGATGCTTACAAACAACAGAGCTGGCTGTCCAATTACTCTTACGTTTCTAGCCATAATGTAATCAAAAGTGCTGATAACAAACAATCAAAAAAGCAAATATGAAAAACTGTCCACTGACCCTTGGAATACAGCACCAGCAAAGTGGCCTCCACCTGTCATGAGAATGACCCACACAGTCGTCTTACTTAAGGCCATTATGGAGGCTCCTGCATCCTGCTCATCATCTGACTGAAATATTACAGAAACAGAACGTGAAATTGGAATAAAAATGAAAGGTATGTTAACACAGACATTGCACACTGTACTGTACTGTACCTGCTGAGCCTCACCTTCCCCTGAAGAATACAGCGGTAGACTGACAGATACTGTCCTGATGAGTTCTGGAAAACCACTTTGCTGGAGAGCCGGCCAGTTATTAAACTGGTTTCACCCGAGCTCTCATTATCTGTGCCAGCGATGTTGCTGCTTGTTCCCCCACAATCACTGTCTGAGTTTTCTTCCTCTGAATCGGACTCCGAGCCCGAGATACTTGACATGTCTCCTGTAAGGTGATAACTGAAAATCAATAAGCTGATACAGTTTTTTGACAGTTAAACTCCATGCCAGATGTGTGGGACTCTGGTTTCCTCACCAGCTCCAGTCTTCTTCTCGAACTCCTCCACTGTGACTGGTGGCAATCCTGCAATTTTTTGTCTCAAGTTGAAGCGATGCCAGTCAAGCTTGTAATGCTCCATCTGAAATGTAAAGGAAAGTCATGAGCAGTCTTCGTCACATCAACAGATCTTCGCTAAATGAATAGAGCATTGTCTGATGGTCACCTGTTCCTCACGATTAATAAAGGGGCATCTGCAGGCTGAGCAGACCATCTTGTCTGACACCTCTTTAGCCAGGCTACACTCCCACGGTTTGTCATCCGCTGGGCCTTCATCTTTCAACTCTGTGACCGGGTTACAAACAGACGGAAAATAAGAAGTACAGTCTTTATTACAGACATGAGCCTAAAGCTACAGTTCATACATACCGTGTGGGGCAGGCTCGGTGCTAACAGGCAGCTTCAGGACAGGGCTCACTTCTCTCAGCCCAACCAAAGCCTCATCATTTTGGGACAAATCAAAGATGGAGCGGTAGTCACCACAGGTCGTCATTTTCACTGTGTTTTCTTTTACCTCATGACCCACTAGGACATGAGAAACAGAGAAACCTACTTTAAGGTTGGTGTTATCCAAAACAATACATTTCGTTCGGATACATCCACAATAATTAACTACACTAGTCTGTTGTTAACAATTCAAACTCCTCACGACAACATTACATGTCATGAGCTGGCAACAACGTACAGACCAATTTCACACTATTACAAAAGCGAGTGTTATCCTCCACGCTCCTCTGAACGACACGTGTAGTAATGACTAGCAGTGACTGTGTCCTTCATTAAAAGGCTGGACTGTCTTCTCTCTTCTCTAACAGGTCGTTAAGTGTATTACAGACAATATAAGTTACAATTAAACTAACTTAAAAATAGCAACTTACCATAAAAATGTGTCAAAGGCTGCGTTAATGTTGTTACCGTCTGCTTCCCCCTGTCGTACTACGGAAGCCCCAAAGTGTCAATAATGTCCCAGCGAGGCGTTCACAGACCAAAGGTTGAAAACCAGCCTTGTACAGCATTGTATTTTAATCAAACGTTTCATTAGTTTTACTGGTTCTTTGTGGGATTACACATATAATATATTTTTTATTATACGTCACTAGGTAATACTGCACATTTCACAATAAAGCTTTAGCCTACGCGTTTGATTACTCGGTAGTATGGCGCAACACGTCACAGTATTGACTGGATAATTAATAACTAACACTTAATACAATTATTTATATGTATAATAGAGAAACAATGTACGTTTTCTTAGACTTCAATCAGTTGACCCAATAAGCTAAACATAATTTATCTTCCATTTCTACAGTTTTCTACAAATGTATATTTATATTTATATTCACAGTGGATGTATATACACAAGTGCAAGCCTGTATGGTTTTATTGCTCAACCTAAAATAGTAAAATTATATTGGGTGTGTCTGGAATGAATGGGGAGTTTTCCTGATACATCACTCACCAAATATTTGGCACCTAAGCTATTGGCTAATAAAGTACGTCTGGGACAATATCAAGTCAAAACTTTATTAAATTCAACAAAGTATAAATATAAAATCAATTACAAATATTGAATTCAACATAAAATGTAAACAAATGTACCTGTAATTTACAAATCAATCTTTAAATGTTTGATTCACTTGGGCTTGCTTTGATTTTGCTTTGACTTTCTGGTTGGTGGGTGGATCAAAGCCTCTGCTGTTGGCAAAGAAAGACATGGCTTATTACCACCTTTATCAATTACAAGTTTATCAGGATGTAGACATCCTCCATACTCTTCTTACCAGCCATATTACGAGCCTTGGCCTCTGCCAGACGTTGTTTTGTGTCCAGAATTTCAGCAGTGAGGCTTCTTGCCCTGCTTTTGAAACATTCACTCCTGTCCTCTTCATTCTTTTGGTTTCTGAAACATAATGAATGTTCACTGCAGATTTGGACATTTATTTCGTCTTTCTCTGTGCACACAGCACAGTACAATACCTGTCTTCAGAGTCTTGACCATGCAGCTGTTCAGAAAGACGCCTTTCTTCTTGTAGCATATGACCCAGTTGCTGTAACACATCAACAACTCTGCTGTTCTCCATCAACTCCATCCTTCGTTCAGCCTCCCTGATGCTGCAAGTGAGAGCTCAGATCAGATCAACTTTATTGTCATGTGTATGAAAAATGAACAAAAAGTTCACACCATCACAAAAACCAGAAAAAAAGGACACCACAGAGCTAAACAACAAAGTGAGAGCAGCTTGTATATGACACCATCTTGCAGTTTGAGGATATTTCTTCAATCCTGAAGAGTTCCTGAAAAGAGCAGAACTCATTTGACTTTGACCAACAGCACAAATGTCAACACGCTTCATATCACACTGTTACGTATGAGCATATTTTTGATTTTGCGGAATTAATTGTTTGGCCAAACTTCACTCGGGTTGATCATGTAAAAAGAATGTGATTTCGGATCCATTTCCTCAAAGGGAAAAAGTCCTATTTGAAAGGCAGCTGTGTCTTTCCATTCGAAATTGCTACCTTGCTTGTAAGCCCGGGGCGGCCCGCAGTGGCCCGGGTTCGAGTCCAGCCTGTGGCCCTTTGATTTAGAAATTCACGACTTTTGAATTCACGCATGGTCCGAACCAAGCAGAACGTTTACTATCTATAACCACCGGCGTTAAGTTGTGTGCAGTAACGATTGTTGAGACAACGCGTTTTTTCTAAATTCTAAACACAAGTTGTATTTAACTCAAGTTCCGTAAAGTAAGTAACATTGGTACCACTGAGTTTTTTCTTTCTCGACATGCAGCCTTTGCTGTCGGACCTCTTCCAGTTTGAGACTGTTTTCCTGGACAGCACGCTGCAGCCCCTTGACTCGCTCCTGCAACGTAAAGAGAGGATTTACAGCGTTGACACTACTTAATTTAGTTTGCTTTTAAAGTGTTTAGACTCACTCTATTGTTGGTGAGCTACCAGAGTAGTTTCTTTAGTTATTTTCCTTGACGATAATTTGTATCTTTTGTCTGAACTTAGCTGTAGCCACCGACATCAAGCCTGGCAAATTTAGCTAGCTAGCTAGTTACAAGTCAGTTAACGTTAACATCAACCTACCGTAACATCATGTTGTGTTAGAAATGAACGAATGTCAGAAAAACTGGTCATGGTATCTTGTTTTCCTAAAATGCCTTTGTAGAATTTGTTGACCTGTCTCATTGAGAGTGAAATCTGTATTGGATTGAGTATGATTTCGGTTTCCGTTCTCTATATGGAGCGTTTCCGGCGTATTTGTCAGAGCCCGGATAGCTCAGTCGGTAGAGCATCAGACTTTTAATCTGAGGGTCCAGGGTTCAAGTCCCTGTTCGGGCGATAATATTTTCCTCTTTTTCACAACACACTGACAATAAGAATATGATGTTCACTCATGACGTTTTGCGACGTAGCATCTGATATTCGAAGCTTAACACTGCGTGTCAACTGCTGGTAAGCGTAGCTCCAGCAGAAACAAAACAGTACTCCTGGTAGCCTACATGTATGATACACCCAAAGCCTAAAATTGCCAGAAATCTGTGCCAAACATTAAACCATTTAATTTAAAGCTGGGCATCGAAGTGAAGCTGTTATTACACACAGTGAGACCTCACATTATCTTACTGTTGGAGTTGTTGTTTATGAAAGAATCTAACTAATTTGGGCATTAAACTCACTCACAAACAAATAACAGTAACCCTGTAATTTACCTGTGATAATCATGGGTATTATCTCAGGACAGTGACTGGGAACACCTATAAAAGTAGGTGTTAGTGCAGGTAAAATGGCAACACTGAAGAAAATTCTGACCAGCAAAGATGGACCGGATTATCCTCTTGTGCATGGTTTCCACCTGTCTCTCAGCCGTACATTCTCAGGTAAATATGCAAAGGATTGGAGTGGGACTGTGATTTTAACAACTTCAGCAGTAGCTTGCAACAGAACTGTAAACAACTTTGTCTTTTTTTTTTTTTTTTGCAGAAATTTTTTTTCAGCCCAAAATGGGGACCCATTGGCTATAAAGGTAAATGCAATTTTGATTTGATCAAATGTTAATCTAAATGTGACTAGTAAAAGCACACACTGAATATAACCCTTCTTTTTTTAAGAGCATGAAGATCACGGCGATGGGACAGCAATGGATGAAATCATTAAAGCTAATGAGATCCAAGGTAAGTTGCAAAAATTTTACTTGAATTCTTTTGCAGTTTACACATCATACTGTAAATGAGCTCATGTCTAGAATGATTAAATTTCTGTCTCAGCTTCCCGAATCATCGACGGCATTACCAGTCTCAGAGAGGGAGACATTGCTGTTTCTGCCGGAAGGCGCTCCAAAGTCTGCTTTGCACGGAGCTGCCTCTGGTCTAAGTCAGTGGATGGACATGTCTACATTGCATACAGGCTCTCAACTGAATACTGTATGTTTTGTAGTTTTCTAAATTTACATAATTGCAATATGTTATAGTATAATAATTTCTAACATTCACCAACATTGTTTTCAGTGATTTACAAATTGTTTCTGTCCTTTCCATTATATCTAAACCCATGAACAGCTGAGATGGAGACAAAGCTGATAAAGAAAGGGATGGAGAACATAGAGAAAGGTACCTGTGTGCGGTTTGTTCCTCGGACTCACCAGCGTGACTTCATCGACATCCAGCAAAAGTCTGGGTGAGAACCTTTGCCTGGAAAGTTTGATTCCATAATATGTCAGTCTTTTCTCTAAAAATGTTACGTGTTTGGCAAAATGTTTTTCTGTGTGTAAGAGATATGAAATTCAGAGTTGAGTAGCAGCTGTTATTATAAATATGAATTACTCAAGGAAGTGTTCTTCTTTGAGTTTTTCTAATCATATGCTATGTGTCTGGGTGTATGTGCGTTAATTCAGGTGTTGGTCCTACCTTGGTTCGCGTGGTGGAAGACAGACCGTATCTCTCCAGAGCCCTAACTGCCTCCAAGTTGGAGTGATTTCCCATGAATTCATGCATGCCCTGGGCTTTGTGCACGAGCAGTCTCGCTTTGACCGGGACAACTATGTCACCATCATGTGGCCAAACATTTGGAGGGGTAATTTCAAAGGGGCGGGAAGGGGGGTGGCATTGGGCAATGAGATCTCCAAAAATGGTAAATTAAAGAATATTAATAATCAACTGTATCAGTTTTCAAAACAAAGATGCTTTGTATACAACAATAACAATCTGTACAAATGCTCGGTTATTAAGTTTAAGAACTATTTTTCAATTTCCAACAGATCGTTTGAGAAATTTTGAGAAATTTAAGACTGACCATTTGGACCTTCCATATGATTATGGCTCAATAATGCATTTTGGGATGTAAGTATATAACTTTAATTTAGATCACTGACTAATCTTGCGGTATAATTCCTATATTGTAATGTAATATATATGTTTAGGTATGCCTACTCTCAGGATGGGGAGCCAACCATCATTCCTAAGAACAGCAAGAACATAAAGCTGGGCCAAACATCGACTCTCAGCCACATTGACAAGCTGAAAATCAACAAACTCTATAAATGCGGTTGGTAGCAAACATCCTGAGCTAATTTCCTGTAATTATTTCAGAACCAGTAACTGTAATGCAATATAGAGACTGTCAAATGTTTAATTCCTTTCTGTCTCTCTCCACAGGTGACAAGGATGATTACTAGCCAAACTGCATTGAGCCGAAACAGTCGTGTACTGGAAGCTAATATAATAAATTGATATTAAATCATTTAAGAAATATCAATAAAGATTGATTCAAGCTTTCTATCAGCATTTCCTCTGTGTGCATGCGATTGTGTGAGTTTAAACAAGACGTGTTGGTTACATTTAGAAGGCTGAGAAAGTTATAGTAAAGTGGTGCGTGAGAACAAAAGAAACAGCACTAGCATTCATCAGAGCTTTGTTTGAAGTGGTCATCCAAGTGTCACTACCCTGTACAACATAAGTCATTTCATAAATCAGTCAGAAATGACTTGAATGTGAAGGAAATGTATTTCTGCTTGCATGCATGCTTGAATATTTAACACTACAGTAAAATAAAGTATTTGAAGAATGAAAACATGGGTCATGTGATCACATTAAACAAGAGGGGAAAAAAAGGGGAAATAGTCTGTTTTCACCGGATGAAGAAACCATTTATCTAGATTAATGAAGAACAAGTTTGTGATATGACAGAGCATTTAAGGATCCATAATTAAAATCATACACCCCTAACTCAGATACAGAAATTTTATAGTATTTATATTCAGTAACCATGAGGGCGAGATTTAATCAACTGCTACCACATTTAATTCTTCCCTGAGTCATTGCCCTTCAAATTGGCCCTTTGATAAAAATAGAAACAGCATTGGGAGAGGGGGAAGGTTTTGTTTTTATATATTTACCTAAATGACAAAATGATTGCTGTCAAGACAGTTATCAACCGAGTTTATCACAAAATCACCTGTTACCAGTTTAGTCAGACACAAATTGCTGGTCTGTTGGACTGGGTGGACAGTTATTCTCCTGATGACAACTGCTGAGTTGTATCAGCAAAACACCTTTAAGTGTTTCATTTCAGAAAGTGCTGAATCTTAACATGTGTTAAGTACAGGGCACAAGTGAAGGTCAGCAATGGGACCACCTGTTACAGCTCAGCAGTGGACTTGAGTAAATTACATAGACCTGGTTGATGAGGGGTCTTAATCGTGCTTCATCATAGATCATGTGCCCAATCAGTACAGAGCATAGGAGGAGAAGTGGGTATATAGATTCAGTGGAGGTGAGGAGTTCATTTAGCTCTTGCACTGGAAGACCGCAGACTGAAACTTGTATACCAATCTAAAACACAACAATGTATTCTGCCAGGATCCTTCTGGCTATCTTCCTTGGCCTGTTGACCCAAGCGTACACTCTACCTGTTAAGGTCAGTACCAGGAGAAAATATTTTGGATGAGACCCCCTTTTAGTTTTGTCGTGCCTTGCAGCCAAATTATATTAACATTTAACCTTTGTATTACAGAATTCTACAGGAGTCCATGAGGGGAAAGTGAGGTTAAAAAGGAAATACTCAGGTGGGATCTTGGAAAAAAGCTACTTTTACATCATGCATGTGAATAATACTGCACGTTAATGATCATAGAAACTGGAGGAAGACTGGAGGATCATTAAATTAAAACTTTCTTTTTTGTTTCATCAGATGAAATTACAGACCGTGATCAAATGAATGTAATGGATCAAATCCTGGAGGTCAATAGCAGTAAGTAAGCTGTGAATTATATAAAATTGTATTGATTAAACTTTTTCAGTATATCATGGACTCAACAAAATCTTTTGTTTTTTTCATAAGGGTTGCGAGCCCCTCGAGGACTGACACTCAGAGAGGGAGATATTGCCAGTTCATACGTGCGGAGTGCGATAACCTGCCCTGGCAATGCCTGTCTCTGGCCTAAATCAGTTGATGGATTCGTTTATGTCCCATACATCCTCTCCCCACTATATGGTATGAATCGGCATATTTAAAGAGGTGATACAAAGGCATTTTAAGTTTGAATCTTTCTGCAAATAATGCTTGTTTTTTTAAATGGCAGACGACATGGACAGAATCACCATAGAGACTGGGATGCAAGACATTTCCTCTGGATCATGCATTAAATTTGTTCCACGCACTCATGAGGACAGTTTCCTTGATATTCAACCGAGATATGGGTGAGTGTGACTGCAACAAATGGTTTTTAGATGTAGTACCTGTTTTGATATTTACATATAATTCTTGTGTGGTAGTTTTGCATTGTATTGACACGTTTTTCTTCTGTGCCCCAAGCTGCTGGTCATTTCTGGGGCAGACTGGGGGAAGCCAGACCTTGTCACTGCAGACTCCTGGATGCATGTGGTCAGGAGTGGCCGCCCATGAGTTCATGCACGCTCTTGGCTTTGTACACGAGCAGTCACGTTCAGACCGAGACCACTATGTTACAATTGTATGGAAAAACATCATGCCAGGTTGGAATGAGTTATCACCTCGCAATGTTATGTTACTGCCTTCCGAAAGACTTTTTTTACTACTCCTTTTTTCACCAAAAGAGTTTAATGTCCCTTTATTTTTTGTGTTTTGACAGACCACATTCATAACTTCAGGAAACAGGTAACAAACAATCTCAACAGCCCGTATGACTACACCTCTGTCATGCATTATGGAAGGTGAGCTCCTCTTTGAGGCCAGGCAAGATAATTGTATTTTTTTTTCATCTTTTGCTGGGGCATCACTACAATATATTTTATGTATCTTTGATGTAGATATGCCTTCTCTGAAGATGGTGGACCGACAATAATCCCCAAACCAGATCCTTACATTCCCATTGGCCAGCGAGATGGACCCAGTGCTCTAGATCTTCATAAAATAAATGTCCTATATAACTGTGGTAGGTGAACTTACACATTTACTGGCTTGCTGAAAATATAGTTTCTTCCATTAAAAATGATTGATTGATTTTCTTTTTCTCGATACCCCCTTTATAGGTGCCAATGAGTAACTGGATCCAGAGCATTACATTCTGTTATTCTGTCATATTCTGTTAAATCTGCTCTTAGGTCATGTCAGATGGTTAATTATAAGTGCTGGTCTTTGGCAGATAATGTGGAAAAATTGATTTTTAGCAAGTTTATTTTCCCATATTAATATTTTGAATTATTATCACAAATTCTAGTCTTAGGATAATTTAGTAATCGGTCATAAAACTGTCTTAGGAAGAAATTAAGGGACCAGTGAAAGTTGCATTTCTCTAATATAATAAAAATCAGCACTGTGATAGCCTAATGCCAGACTGAAACTGACTAGTTTTTTTCATGCCTGCTGCTGCCAATTAAATCACTGCATCCAATCTCTGAATGAGATTGTTCCATTTTCTGCTTCCTTCTCAGCATCTGCTCACTTTAAATAAAGAAAATGCAAAACAGTAAGAGTTATGGACTGTTTTACACACTATTTGATTATGTCTTGGAGACAAGTGAGGTCTTGCATTGTGGTTCATATGGAACATGTACAGTAGTGCAGTATTACTGATAAATTCAGTCTAATCAGATAGTTTTCTGTTTGGTCCTGTCTGAAAATGACAGCTCCCACCGTGTGCATTTGCCCATGTAGAATGATCTTCTACACAGGTTTAATTTAAGCAAAAAAGGAGAAAAGGTTATTTTTCACCTATATTTCTTTCCCTGCATCAAATTTGGTTTTAAACCAGACAAGTCAAGTGCATCCCTGTACCATTGCCACCATACAATCCAGCCAGTGGCACGTAGAGTAGCTCATGAATGTGCTTACACTGGAGTAAGCCACTCTTAAACCACAGGATAGCAGTCATTTTCTGCTCCTCACTGCCTGAATAAAACTGTAGTGAAAGTAGTGGATGAATGAAAGGCAGAGACATGGAGTAAATGGGTGAGGAAAAGACAGCAGGACCAGACAGCTCTGTGGTATGGTGATAAAAGGATGCATTTGTACAGTTGACAATGTGTAAAGAATCTTTATCTTACAAAATATGGACTTATTGGCTTCGAGACCATGAAACAATAAAACAGTGACCCAAACAAGGCATACATCAAGAAATAATTATTTATTATTATTATATCATTATTTATTTGCAAAAATGTTGTGTAGAATGTCAGCTAAATTAACTGGTTTCATCTTATCTTGATGAGTGGCTATGACAAAATTGGTGTCACAGAGACGATTTAAATATGCAGTTATATTTGTAAAGACCACTAATGAATAAAGTCAATAATTGTTTTTTGATGGCTTAATAAGCTATGAATTTTAAAATTATGCAGTTAATGTTTTCATTTAGAGGACAATGTTGTAAAAGGGGGGGTGGGGGCACCACACTTAACATGCAAAAAATACGCAGTAGGTATTATTAAACTGTTGCTTGATTGTAAATCTTATATAAAAAATATAAGACATTTATTTATCCTGAATAATGTCTAGTAGGCTACTTTGCAATCTCAAAACCACTTCCTAACCAAACTCATTTTATTCCACAAAATAGAGTCTTACTGGAAATACCGACATAAATTTTAAAAGTTGATTCAAAACGGGACTAAATATTTCAACAGATTTTGTAAAGGTCCTATTTCCATTAGACCTGTGTTATGTTGGTTATGTTGTCTACTCTATTAGGCAACTCACAGACAGTCACTTGAATTGCAAGTTATAACTATAATTGTTTTCATTTTTTTTAAAGCGAAAATATGTGGTTTTCTTAACAAGTGTCGTTAAGGAAACTGCATTAGACTACATGAAACTACATTATGGAAGAATGTAATTGCTAATTATGCTATTATTATCTGCCTGCAGCACGTGGGAGGAGCTACCGCCTACAGTTGTTACTGCCGCTATTGCTCACACACAGACACACGCTCCCACACAACTGTGGATTGTAGTTAGCTATTACTTTCATATATTCAGTGTAACTAAAAATGAGCGATAACGACAAAGGTCGGGTACGTATGAGCTTCGTTAAGGTTTTGTCTGTAACATTTTTCTGGTGCTAACTTACGAGTGACTCGGTTGTATGAAACTGAAATGTTCAGTGTTCATGTTGTCTTAGCTAATGTTGGTTAGCTAACGTTAGCTAGCTTGCTGAAGCCTACAGTTCAAACCATTTATGAAAAAAAGTTATTTATGAAACATACATCTGTCATTATAATTTTGTTCAGTTTATAGTTTATTACTAGTACGTTTCCCAAGCATTTGCACAGTAAACATTAGCGTGTGCTAATAATCGTTAGCTAGCCGGCTAACGGTAGCCCATGAACTGGGCCTGTGTGAATGTACGAGAAAAGCAGCACAGAGCCTGCGACGTGAGTGCTAACTTAAGGCAACAACTCAGCCTAACCAGTCTTTAAAAACAAACCCGCGGATCGTCAAAATGAATGTCTGACTGTTTATCGTTAAGATTAATTATTTGCAAGTTTAATCTTAGCTACGTTGTTACATAATGTTTTAAAAGCGGTCAGACTTGTTGAACATGTTGAATATAGGTTAACTAATGAAACAGTCTGCAGAAACCGAAGGGGGGATTTCTGTTTAGACATTTATTCGCTAATTAATTTGACAAACTTTAATGTAGTAATTGTAAGATGGTATTAAACTGTATGTAGATACTATACATAGGATCTCGACTGAGTACTGTGCATTTGTGTCTGCCAACATTAATCTTAATATTTCAATATGTTTTTTCTGTCATTGTGGGCGCAGCAACTTGTGCCAATCAAGCCACAATATTGGTGTTAAACATATTAACGATTTAAGACAAAAACAAACGGCCTCAAGATTTCTTCTTATCCATTTGCATTTACTGCATTCTGTCATTGCATTGTACCTTGGAAACATAGCCATATCATACTGCAGCTATCAGGTAATCAGAGTTAAAGTTTGATTCTTACCCTAGTGAATTGACCATTATGTCTGTACATTTTATAAAATGTAAAACAATTTTCTGTGGTTCAGAAACCACTTTGCAATAGAATACCCATAAGTCCTTTCCAGCATGACATGATTTAGCCTGCATGTACCTGGGGTCATAGGATCGAATTAGGAATGTACAGTGTGTAGAAGGGCAAATGACAGTTTGGGTTAGTCCGGGAGGAATTTATTTAGAGGAGGTTATTTAGACAAACGTTTACCCTTAGACGCTGTTGCCCACATTGACCATGAACATACAGTTTGCACTGGCTTACTTACAGGCATAACCAACTATTTTTCTTTGCACACCAGCCTCCACAGTGTGATCATCTAGAATTGGTCTCATGTGGTTGTTTTGCATTATGGGTAAACCTCACATGTTGTGATTTAGTCAATTAGTTATTTAGAGGCAGTTTGCTGAACATGCTTGAGGATAACTGCACCTTATAATCAATCAAATTTCTGTTTCCTATTACAATTGCTTGTAAATTTTCTTGCCACTAACAGGCACTTTTTCAAGAAAAATGGTCTTGATATAGCTACAGCTTATGGTCTGAAGATTTACTCTCAAGATTTCAGGCTGTTTTATCAGCACTAATGATGCAAGTCAATACAATTGAGTTGAAACAACATCTTGAGGTCGTTTGGACTAACTTAAGATGAGATTTATTTCGAAGAGATGAAGGCACTGTTGAGCAGACATTCACATTCAGTGGTTTGAAATACACTATGATTCCTTAAAGGCCATTTGGAAGAAATTGTACCAACAGGATTCATTTGGGCCCGTACATTTAAAGAAGAAACACAATGTTTTTGCAAAAGACAAACAGAAATGAAAGGTGATCATGTAATCATAGTTCATATAAATCTGTATCATCTTGTGAATATATATAGGACAATATTGTTTGTTCTGTTTTCCTGATGTGCAGATGACCTACCAAAGTGTCAAGACACAACCAGAATGGAAAAATGAAATGAACATATGTTCACATGCATACCTTTCAGTTTTGGCAGCAGTTTACAGTAATCATACCTTACTTTCCTGATATTTACATCTACAACCCTTTGAAAGCTCATAACTGAAAGTGGCTGATAGGATATAACAGTGAACGTAGAACCACTGAAAGTGAAATACTTATAAAACTAACACTGAACATTTATATTATGTGGCCTGAAATATTCCCATGCATGTCATAAGATCGTAATAACACATTAAAAGTTGAATGAGGGTGCAGTTTTAATTGTAGTCATATATTCTTCATCCTTTTCTTTTCCATTAAGGTTAAGGTTGGACCAAGAAAATGCGGAAGAAGTCTCATGTCCACTTTATTTTCAATAATATGAAGCTCAGATGTGTGAAGCTGAATTATTCAATGCATGCTAAAACATGAGGAGGGAAGAAGTATGGGCAGTGTGTGAGATGGGGGAAGTAAGAAGAAGTAAGACAATTGAAGAAAGAAGAATAATGTGAAGTAATGAAGTTACAGAAATGAAGTTCAGGAAGTAATCTGGATAAGGTCACTGCGCTAAGTAATTTTCTGGTCTGTTTGTCAAATGCGTGCATGTTCTTTTTATTGAATTCAACACACATTGGTTTAAAATCATTACAATTTTTACACAACTGACTAATTTGTTTTTTCATCATGTTGACAATTTAAGTATACTGATTAATGTAGTCATATTGATGTCACACTATCCATGGCTAAACAAAATAGCATTAACCTACATTCCTAATTCACAATCCTAAATTCTGTTCTTTTCTGTACTCTTCACAGGATTGTGTTAATACTTAAGTAAATAGAAATATTGAGTCAAATTTCTCAGTTTGTCTTCTCATTGGTACTGACAAGGCGTATGTGTGTGTGTGTGTGTGGTCCGTTCAGGAGTCTCGCTCTGCGTCCAGGAGCGTGAGTCCACGGGGCTCAGGAAAGTCGGCAAGCCGCTCCCCGGCTCTCTCACCAGCCCGTTCAAAAGAAGGCTCCCGCCACTCCCGTTCCAAATCTCGGTCCCAGTCCAGGTCAAGGTCTGGGTGAGTAAATTTAAGTAAGTTTTTCAGAATTACAGCGGCATAAAAGTCTTCCCTACCAATTGTCAGACAGGATATGAAGATGTCAGTCTATCTATCAACTTTAGAAGAATTGGATGTGAGTAGCGATAGGACCAATGTGAATGTTGAAGTATTGTCTCTGTCTGTACAGGTCCCATTCTCGCCGTGGTTCACGCAGACACTACAGTCGATCTCGTTCCCGCTCAAGGTCCTATCATCGCCGATCCCATAGCAGGTCCTACAGTGGAGAGCATCGGCGCAGGAGCCATAGCCGCTCACCCATGTCCAATCGCCGTAGGCACATCGGCAACCGTGTAAGTGCTCAATGGCTAAATCAGCATCGCCTGTGTTCTCGTTGCATGATATCTGAAAATGTCCATTGTAGTTCCCAAACACTGATATGTACTTCAGCATATTATATCTGCCTGACATGTAAAAACTTCATTGTCCTGAGTATTGATGGACTCTTTCAATGGATTATTGTATGGTGTATCCAAATCTTAATGTCTATGAATTGCAGGCAAATCCAGACCCAAACTGCTGCCTGGGAGTGTTTGGCCTGAGCTTGTACACCACAGAGAGGGATCTGAGGGAGGTGTTCTCTAAATATGGCCCCCTTGCTGATGTCAGCATCGTGTATGACCAGCAGTCGAGGCGCTCCAGGGGCTTTGCCTTTGTTTACTTCGAAAACACAAATGATGCTAAAGAGGTATAAGAATATGAGTTGACAAAGACCTCTGCCAAACACATTCCTGAAATATTTTATGGGTCTTAAGTGGTAGTTTATTTTTGATTGCTGCCAGGCAAAGGAACGAGCCAATGGCATGGAGCTGGATGGTCGTAGGATCAGGGTAGACTTCTCCATCACAAAAAGACCTCACACCCCAACCCCTGGAATCTACATGGGCCGACCCACATAGTAAGACATCTGGACCATGGAAACTGTTTCATTCATGTTACCACATTTCATGTGGTGTTTCATTTTAGATCCTCCAGTTAACAGATATGCTCTGATGTGGTGTACTGTTTTTGTAGATCTATTTTAGATGTAATCCATCAAAGAGAAAGATCAGTGCTTATAATTCTTTGAGTAAATTTTGCGAGTGGCCATGAGTGGGGAGAAAATCACTGTTTCCTGTTGGAGGTTAAAAAAAAAATAAAAAATTGTAATTTATTTGTAAGGCAATTTTTAAACAAATAGTGAAGTTTTTACAAAGTTAGAGACATGAACATCAAAATCGTCCAGTTGTCCCAGAAAAGGAGGTTAACTTCAGTTCTGTAGCAGACAAATCCACTAAAATCCCTAGCATTATTAACACTAAAGTGAAAAACAGCATAATATTTGGTAGCTGAGTGAGTTTGGGCTCTCCATCAGTGGTGAATTCTCTGGGTACTTCAGTGTAATTAGAGGTATTAATTAGACTTTTAGCTGAAAAAGATATTGGTTGTGTAATTGTAGAAGTGTGTCATCTGTTGTAGGCAATCAGTTCCTCAGGAATTGTATGTTTGCTATTATAAACAGAAATAAACACAAACCAGAGCGCTTACAACTTCCAGATGTATTGTTAGTTGTTGAATGTCTATTTGTACAAAATTATTACCGGGTTGAATGTAAGGCTTGTTGTTGCTTCCTGTTAAAAGAGTTGTCTTCAGACCTCCAAGTTCTGTTTTCATAAAAACTGAAAAGTTATAAATTATTTTATGAATATACTTTTTAAGTACTGATTAAATTGTATTTCTTTTTTACAAATAAAAGTGAAAATTTAATCATAGATTTTTTACACTTTACACTCAACAGTTTGCCACATGTCGAGTATCATGTCCTTCTACAATTAGAGTAATGGAGCCATTTATATTCACATGCTGAGTAAGAGTGTTAATAACAGACTTATGAGATAAAGACCAACTTACAAGTGAAGTCTCCCTCCTATTCTAACCTCAGTAACGTATAACAAAAATGAGAAATGTCTTTTTTCAGTTGGAAATGGAAAAATTAAATTAGGTGTGAAAGTAATTATTTTCTTCATCCGTGTAGTGGTGGAGGTGGTCCCAGTGGTCCTCGACGTCATTCACGTGACTACGACCGTGGGTATGATCGCGGATATGACCGAGGCGGCTATGATCGCTATGATGACAGGGACTACTACAGATCATACAGGTGACAATCTCAATCCATCAAGTATTCCAGCATATTATGATTGGGGAAATTGATTCTCAACTCATGGTATTTTGGCTTCAGTGTATTTTTAATACCTTCTGAAGTTGACAAAGATGTTAATTTGGTTTTGTTTCAGAAGGCGATCCCCATCACCATACTACAGAGGAGCTTACAGGTCTCGGTCCAGATCACGGTCTTATTCTCCCCGTAAGTCTTTTTCACAAATTCTCAACTGTTTTATGGATTATGATTGAGGTTGCAGTGTGTTGGATTTTTTTCTGATGTCTGTTTTGTTTCACAGGTCGCTATTGAACGTTGCTGTCAAGCAAAAACCCCTCCTCTACCCAAGCACAGACAGGAAATGTTTGAGTGGTATGATTGATTTCAGAACAGATGTTCTTTCTTATGGTGACCTTCACACCTCTGTTTACTGATGTACATGACCAGTAAATGTAAACTGACTCAAGCCGTTCCGCACATGTTTTTAATTTTGAATGTATAGGCGACCCCTGCCGTAAATGTTATATTAATGTTTTGATTTTTTGGATACAAATTGAGTGAAAATTCACCTTTTGAACAGATTAAAAGCGGGATGCATTTTTTCACTTTGACTTGTGCCCCTCCTTACTGCACTTCTACATTGCCTTAAAGCATTTCCTGTTGCAGGGCTGTTATAATAAAGACAAGGATATATTAAGGCCTTCATCTTACCACATTGGTATGTGCCAATTTCTGCAGAATTTTACTTCGGCCTTAACAATAGCAACTGCAGTGCATGTGGATGCCATGTTTTTTGTGTTATTCAACACACACAATTTAAAAGTTTTTCTGGGGAGCCACTATTAAATTGTCAAATCAACAAATGAATAATAATGGGCACAACATGAGCACACGTATCAAGCTGCAAGTGCTTTCTTCCTAGATACTGTTAAAACAGACAAAATGTATCCAAGTTACCAGTTAAGCTTGTGTAAATTTGTACTTATGAATATTTACAAAATATATCCAAAGTGACAATTTGATAATGTCATATAATTGTATCTTCTTGGGTCAAAACACAGGTGTTCTAACATTCATCCATCCATTGGGACAAAGGCAGGACACACTAGACAAGATGAGTTTTCTTGAGATGTCAACACAAATTTAATCACCTTGCATAACAATTTAAAGTATTTCAAGAAAGATTAACTAGAAATAGCCCATTACTTGAGGCAGACTAGAGTTTTAACATGATTTATCCAACTGATATATCAAAAATGGTGAGGCAGCACTGGAATGGATTTGGCTAAGTGCTTTGGTAAAATGTCATCTTGTCTAATAACCCCTAGGGAAAATATTAGAGATACATATTCCCTGAGCCTTGTTCCAGACCTCTGAATCACTGCCCACATCTGACTTTTTTTTCTTTCAGCAATTCAAATAATAATGATGTGAAACGAAATGGCAGTAGAGTCTGATTGTCAGGCTAATATTCCTTGACTAGAAGCTATAAATCTGTGATTTAAATGCCACTGCTCATCAGGCTCAATTTAAACTGAACAAAAAAAAAAACAAAGCATAAATGTACATAAGGAAAGTGTTCTCAGACTTTTGGACCCCACTGTATGTATTAAATGATGACTTGTTGGTACTATTTTTAGTCTTCTAACAAACTTATGAGGTTAACCCATCCATGAGTAAATGCAGCTGAACAAATCAAGTTGATTTCACCAAGTCCAATGTTTAGTGTTTCACTGCTCTCTCCCCATGTGGTTTAGCAAGATCTATCGAGCAGCATCTGGCTGTGGGGAACTGAAGTCCAACATCTACCCCTACTGGGCACAGAGGAGTCCAAACTTGTTCCATCATCCATGACGTACAGTACAGTACAGTATATGACAAAGTGTATGACTTGGTTTATTGTAGTTTTCCATTTTACCTTGTAGTAGGGGAAAAAACTCAGATCCTGAAGTTAAAAGATGAGCAGTAAAAAGAGGTTGCTTCTTTACTTAAAGGGTTGGTTCACCCAAATTATGAAAAAAAAAACATCTTTTTTTTCCACTTATCTCTAGTGGGATCGAGCCATGCAGATAATTTTTGTTTTATTTGTCCATGCTTTGCAATATCCGTTCTGAGATTCCTCCCTTCACCCCAATACAAAGGAGGTGAATGGATTTCATTTGCAGTGCTCACAGCTTGGAAAAATGTTGACGTTTTTTTTGTTTTGTTTAACCATTTCATTTAAAGCATTATAGTATTAAGAGTAAAACATGTTTGTTTCCTGTAGGAATGGTGTTATCAAAGAAATATGTAGGTTACATCTATTCTGTATTTAGCCTATTGCATTTTTCAGCATGTTTTGCCTGAAAAAACAAAAATGTTCTGAAGTCAATAAAATGGTAGATTTCCCTCGGATTTTCTAGAGGTAGTAAAATAAATTTAACACAAACGGAAACTATCATTTAAACCGCAAGTTCCTCAAGACTACTTGAGTAAATGGTTAATTTACACTTCACTTTATTGGACAACATAACAAAAGAATGAACCTTTGAGAGTGTAGGCATGAATAGGAATGTGTAAACTTTATGCCACAGGGGATACAAAGGTACAACAAGAAGCTTGTTTGGGGGGATGTAAACTGTAGTTTTAATTTCTTTTTAATCCTAGTTTATCTTAATGCTCTTGATTGAATGGTTCTTTTACCTGACTCCCACCACCCCTTTTAACAGTTTTCAACAGCTGTCTCCACCTTGGAAACTCCATCAGCCTATTTATTTCCCTCTTCCACCACAAGTCCACATGTTCGTATGTGTGTGTGTTGTTTGTTCTGGTCAGCAGTTCTCTCTGCGTTCCGCAAATGTCACATCCCTCCCAGTCCCAGTGCATTTTCCTTTCTGAGTGGAAATCATTTTTGGGTGGCTGCATGATTTGACAGCATACTGACCTAAATGGGGACAACATGTAACAGGAAAGCATGTAAAATATTTCATTTAAATTCTATTTAAATAGAAATGCACAAATAGGTTCAAGTTTAAAGCAGAAATTGAATGTATAATGTAATCAGATATATAGTGTAAAATGAGTATGGTAATCATTTAGTGCAGTACATGAGTTTTAAAATGAATGGGTAATCCATTTGACCTCAGATTTGAATGAGTCTCATCTGGCAGTAGCAGAAAATCCTGCAACAACTGTGTTAGCATGTCATCAGGAAAGTAACTAAAGAGCTGTTTTGTAAATAGAACGCAGCTTTGACATTCCTCTGTTCACACACTGACGTAAACAAGGAGAGGAATGGTCACTCCTGCTGCTGGCACTCTCTCCACTACAGTAGGGTGGCAGTAATGTTCCAAGGCACAGGCCAGTCACATGTAGAAACACTCAAGTGCTGCAGGCAAAAGCTCCTCCCCTTGGTAACTAGTGTAGGTACAAGACTACACATCCATGCATGAGCACTGCAGCCTGTCCCTCTTCGTCATGCAGCCGCAGCCTTTCCCTTACATTTCAGCTTTTGTTTTGAAATCCACTTTACACACCTAGGCTACGTTGCTTCACTTCCCTCCCTAAACACACCCACATGCACACACCTACACTAACAAAAAAAAAAGAAAAGAAAAGAAGAAGAAAAAAAAAAGACAGATGTAATACCATGTCTGTAGCCTGGAGTATGAGCTCAGACTGGCTGAGTGACACTGCATAGAGGGCAC